GACTCAAGGTGGTCTTTCTAATTGATCCAATATACCTTGGGTGTTGGGTCATCTTAGGCCAATGCACTATTTCGGGATTAAATTTCGCTTTACACTAGTTTGACTGGTAGTGGGCTTTATTTGTAGTGGATCGATGACCCAAGCAAACTATTTGAGTTGAGAAAGTTAGCGACTGTTGATCATCCAGTGGCGAACTTCAGTCGTCAGGGTACCCTAAGAACAATTTGGTTAACGAACGACTGTAGTCTGTATAGTCATTTTATAAGTGACAAAATAAAAAAGTATCGCTTGACATAATATATTTTATGCCATGAATGCACCAGTTTAATATTTATGGAAATATAAACAAATAGGCAAATAAACAAACAAACATTAGCTAAACAAATTAATTTTAAGGTTAGAACCATATTCAAATCCCCAGTGGAGTCGCCATTCTATTTATTTATAAAGATAACGATAGGTTTTAAGAGTCGCCACTTAATTTTTAAAGAAAAAAACTAAGAAAACTAATTTTTCAAAAGATTAAAACAGTAAATCAATTAAAAATATTAAAAGATTCGGGGTTGAAAAATATTTCGAGAAGGTTTGAAAGCACCCAAATGCCCGCTAACATGCGGTTATTCGATAATTAATTATTTGACTAATTGATTTTAAAATAAAAGCATAATGAAACTAATTAAGAAGTAAACAATTTAAAATTTTAAAATATCTTAAAGGGGAAAAGGAGATATTAAAAATATTATTTAAGTACAACATTTTGTAAATTTTCATGAAAGTCAAGTATAAAAATATTTAGTCAAGTTTAAATAATTAATTTAAAATGGTTATGTTTTGGGGCATTGATTAGGAAGAACCTTAAAATTAAATAAACATATAATAGCAAATAACTAGAGAAGGAGGGAAAGATTTGGGCCCAAGTCTGATTATGTTCGCCTAAGCCAGTACTTGGACCTAATTTTGTTTTGGACCTTCGGCCCATTTGCACTTGTCCTAAAGAGACTAAACTGAGTTGATTTCTCTAATGAGCTTTAGGCCCAATTCTTGCATTTGACGCCTGTCCTAAGCTAACAATATAACAATAATGAAAATGCGAGGGGCTTAGGCCTAAAAAAATAAAATACAAGAACTGAATTTGGAGGCTTTTAGGCCCATTTCTCGATTTTCATATACACTAGATGTATATTAGTATATACAATTCCTATATCAACGCCAACTTGGTGGGCCCAACTTGGTCTTTTGATTGGGTTTAAAGATGAGGCTGAAAATTGACTTAGGAAAATAGCCACATGGATATAGTTATGGTCAAATGGGAATTAGAAAACTAGCCAAATCGAGTCGATTAGCGAATTCGGCTAAAGTTATAATAAGACGAGTTAATTAATTACTCCCTCTGTCCCAATTTATATGACTTACTTTCCTTTTAGTCAGTCCCAAAAAGAATGACACATTTCTATTTTAAGTAACAATTTGCCTATAAAATGTCTTTTTACCTTAATGAAATAATTTACAACCACACAAATTTCTATCATTCATTTTGGACCACAAGTTTTAAAAGTCTTTCCATTTTTCTTAAAGTTTGTGCCAAATCAAAGTACATCATATAAAATGGGACGGAGGGAGTAGTTAATAAGCTTCTTAATTTCGACGACATGAAATAATTAATCTTAATTATAAACTAAAACCATAAATTGAACTAAACTAAATTAACAAAATATTTGACTAAAATATGAAATCTTTTTGAGACGATTTTCGAATATTCATAAAATGTACTAATTATATATGTAATTATATAAAACATATATATTATTTAAAAATTATAAAAGCGACTAAAATTACTTCAAAAATAACTTGAAAAGCGTTTGAATTTTATAAGGCTAATTATTCCAAATCGTTTGAAATTGAGGAAGCTTAAAAATTAATTATTATCAGGAAGTGTCAAAATTGGGTGTTAACAATATTCCTACCACATGTATTAATAAAACAAATAATAAATAACAAAAAGGTGTCATTTAGTGATTTTGGCATTCAACATTTTATAAATAAGAGTTATTGTGAATAAATTCACTATTATGAAGCATGTTGATACATTCTGGCATTCCTCCTTGTTTCAGGGAGTATTTGAAATAGAATTTAATACTTTTTGATCGTGATTATTTCAATAGGTCGCTTATTGTTCAAGATTTTTTGTTTAGATAATTTATACCATCATGTCTAAATTCTTTTATGTTTTAGTAGTAACATATTCTTCAATGGATTTGAGGTCCATAATACGACAACAACAACAATATACCCAGTATATTCCCATAAAGTGAATCTAGGGAAGGTAGAGTCACTACTAAAAATCTGCTAAAACATAACAGACAGAAAAACAGCGGACAACGTCGCTCCGAAAAGCGACGCCGTTTTCCACACTATCCGTCACTTTTTAATAAAAATAATTATTTTAAAAGTTTTTTTTACAAAATGTGACGAATGACATCTCTTTCTTCGTTGCTTAATTTGCCAGATTTTTGTGCCAAAAATATATAATTATTAATTATTTATTTAATATACGTAGAGAAGTCGTCAATCGCTTTTCATTTAAAATAATAATTATTAAATTAAATAATAACCACGATGTCCATCATTTTTGAGTAATTTTAATTTATTAATTATTTTTAAAATTAACGATGGATGACATCTCGTAGTCTGTCGCTTTTTGGTGGTCAAACACTTTTAAAAAGCGACGGATATTATCATTTAGTGCGTCACTTTTTAGTCAAAATTTTTGTCAAACATTTTTAAAAAGAAGCAACGGACAACGTCTCACTTTTAAAAAAAAAATCTCTCTCTTCTCCTCATCTCTTACTTCTCTCTAAACAACCGATGCTCAACTGTCATCGTCGCCGTCTTTGCCGTTGCATGATGCGCGCTAGTCGCCAGCTATCGCTGTCGCTGCCCCTGCTACTCCTTTCTTCATTCTCTTCTACTCCTTTAATTAAGGTTAGAGTTTCATCAATTTTAGTTTTTTTTTCAATTTGAGTTTGTTAATTAGTTTGTTGAATTTGTGTTTATTTATTGTTAATTTGAATGATTGATTGTTAGTTAGTGAGTGAATTATAGATTTTTAATTTTAGGACTAGTTTGAATCAGAGTATTTCTTGAGTTGGTATTGAAGTGTTAATTTGAAGTTAGGAGTTAGTTTATTGTAATTAGTTTATTGAATTTGTGTTTTATGATTGTTAGTTTGAATGATTGATTATTAATTAGTTGGTGAGTGAATTAGGGATTTTTGATTTTAGGACTAGTTTAGATTTGGAATTTTAGGACTAGTTTGAATTATGGTATTTCTTGAGTTGATATTGAAGTGTTAATTTGAAGTTAGAAGTTAGTAATTAAAGTGTTTTGAGTATAAGATGGCGTTGACACCACATTTTGTCCCTCCTTACTTCTAATGTATTTCGTTGAGCTTCTAAATTACTAATAAGTCGAATACTTTATAATTCACTATTATTTTCCATTTATCACTATTGCTATCGTAATTACCTATTACTTTAAATTTTATTATCATCTTTCTATTATCATTTTTACTATTTTTAAAGTATATTTTTACTAGCAACATTTATTATTAACACTTTATTGTCGTCTTTTTAAAAATAGATTGTCGTTACTTTATTTCAAGTTTCTTACTTACTAAACCTTTTATATAATGTATATTATATTAGTTATAATTAAATTAGAAGTTCAAATGATTTAATTTAAAGAAGGAAAAAGGTCATGGAAGCCCAGGGGCGGAGCTACAACATGATAAGGGTGTGCACGTGAACACTCTTCGTCGGAAAATCACATTGTTTACGTAAGTCAAAATTTATTAAATACAAATATATAATTCATTTTGCACAACCTTAACATTAATAGAGGCTTTGGCGTAGGGGAAAGGGTGTTCAAAAGGAATGCTGAGGTTGCCAGTTCGTATCTTGTTGCTATTATTTTACTTCTTTTGTTTGTCAAAAATCACACAATCCTTTGTGGGTCCACCTAATCTCAAGTTACTCTCACAAATTAAAGTTATAATTTACTTTCTTATTTAGGAGTCATTACATATTATTTATTTTATATTTATTTTCTCCATTTCAATTTATATGACATTGATAAATATTGTGCTTTATATATTATTTTTTATATAATTTTTAAATATATAAATTTTGTTTCAAAATTTATTATTTCTAAATTCACGGTCTATGTTTAAAAATTTGAATCTTGAAATTTTAAGTGTGCTACATAAATTGAAAAAGGAAAAATAATAAATTTAACTCAAACCTTAGTTTGGATATATATATTTGTAAATATAAAATAATAGTTTAAATGAGTTTCTACTTAAAGAATTAGAAAAGAAGGTTATGTGCAATTACATTTCTCAATTTCCTCTAAGTAGGTCATTCGGAGGTTTGAAAAAAAGAATTCATAAGGGGTTAATTTTTTCATAGTTTCATAATTGAATTTGGAGATTTGAACTTTTAATTAGAATTTTCACACATTTTCTATTAGAATAAAAGAAATTTAACATACATACATTAAAATAAAAAAGTAGCATAATCGATAGGTTGAAAAGTAACTTTAAATTTAAGTAAAAAATAATAATTTTTTTTTGAATATGTGCATGTGTTCTGTAAAATCTCGACCCATTAATTATAAAACTATTATTTCAATTGATATAACTTATCTTGTATTTTTGAAAGCAAACCAAATTAGAGATTTTTTTCCAAACATTGTGTTTAGTGGAAATTCTTTTATTGACGGTGTTGATAGTAAAGTCATTAGGTAGAACAAGATGGATATAAATTCATACCAAAAAAATTTGTTCGTTGCCTTCAAAAAATTTGCAAACCCTTCATTAATAGTCTAGCTCGCCACTGTGAAAGCCTATCCATTTTCAGCCCATTTACGAGCCCAAAATCAAGCAAAACCCATTAAAAAATTTGTCCAAAATTAGGCCTAAACTCGCTAGCCCTTTTTGAAATATATCAGAAAACCTCCCTAACCTAATCCCCTAAAAAAGATCAGCCACTCCCTTTCAATTTCTCTCTATTCGATTTCAGAAAATTTCCAAAATGCTTTCGGTAAAAGCAGGACTATGTTCTTCCATTTTTGTGCAAAATTGTAGTGCTTTGAAATTCTCTCTTTCATATTCAACTGATCAATCAACACAAGAAGCCAAAAGACTTTTTGAAAATATGATTTTTTTAATGTAGAAAATCACTTTAGCAACTTCAAACGACTCATTTTGGGACTCCAAGATCTACCCGTGACCTCCCTACTCTGTAAAATTTGAATTTAAAAAATAAAAAATTTGTCTTACCATTCTTTTCCTATAACTACTTCCTCATCTTCAACAAAGGAGAAACTTTTCTTAATCATAAGAACATCATACATGGTGGAAGTTATTTATAACGTTTAGCTATCACCATCCATGCCAAAATTCTTGTATTTTCTGTTTGCTTTTATCGAACTCATTAGGTTCGAGGGGTGAATCTGATCATAACAAGAGAGTAGATTCTACGCCGACGTCCTAGTTCACTACACTACAAAAGGTAAAATCTGATTCTTCTATTTAGTTAAACATTTGCAGTCGTGTTAGAAAAAAACAAGAGTTACGCATTTCTTTGTCCGTAATTATATTACAGTTGCTATTATATAATAATTTCTTTTTAGTTGTGAAAAGTCTGATTTCAATCATATAAATGGAGTTGTCATGTAGAACTATATGTTATGCTATCTTTTTTAAAATAAAATAAAAGGACCCTACTAATTTTGTGTGATAAATTGACTACTTTGGTTTGGATTTAGATATGCTAGTATGTAGAGAAATTGTAGTTACGCTCAACTAAGGATCTGAAACTGTGATTTCATATAATAATCGTGAAAGGATAATTTTACCCACTCTGTTATATTAATCTTTAGAGATACATTTGTGAGGGCTGTTTTGTGTATATTTAGTTTGGCCAAGTATGTGGAACATCTAGTTTGGTATGTAACGAGTTCCCAGTTATGACTAATATGACTTTCAACTAACTATTCTCTTTTTATATATAGTACCAAGAATCAAATTTCCTCATGTAACTCTTTTCTCATGTTTATTTGGCATAAAATCGGAGCCGGCGAGTCTCCTTTTGAAACTCAACGACACCACTACAACATGGAGCTTGCATATCCCTCACATGGAATTGATCATATATATTTCTTTTACACTACACCTGTTCGCTTTACTTATTCCCTATTTCTAGAGACGTATCCGGATAAAACGAGACATTATAGTTAATTAGTTTTCTAGTACATTACTTACCATTATGCTTATTTATTTGTTTGGTTTGCTGTTATGTTACTAGAATTTGCACAAATCTGCATGAATGACTTAAGTAATTTATCTCTAGTTAGTATCTTATTCATGTTTATAACCCTTTTTTACTCCTAGATTTAATGACTGTATTTGGATAATTTGGCAAGTTCTTTGATTTGGGATAAAAATCAGCTAACCTTTATTTTATTTAATGGATTAAATCAGATTTTTTTTGGGGATTGATTTGCAATACTATTTTTCTTTACAAAAACCTTCTTTTTTCTCTTTTAGTAAAGCCTTTTGGAGGCTCTATTTACTTTTCTTTTAAATATAAATAACTAGACTATCTTGGACCCCAAAAACTACCTTTTTGAGTCTATAACATATTTCATTAATATCGTACACCACTTTTAAAATCAAATTATTAGTCTCAAAGTTTTTTCAATATCAATCCGTCTAAAATGGAGTTTTTGATTTGTGATTTTAAGTCATAAATGATTTTATTTTGATCACTTTTATTTAAAAGTTTCTTGGTAGTAACTTTGTTTCCATGGTTTTGACAAAATAAGGAATAATTTATTTAAACTTAAATTTATCCATGTAAGCTATTTTTAGACATAAAGTTTATACTTTTATTTTTTATCCAAACTCTTTTTAATATGCTAATATTTTATTTTGGCACTTAGCCTAATCAATTAATCAAGTTCGGTTGGTTAATCATTTTTAATGGATTTTAAAGGATGCCTAACCCCTTCCCTTTAAATTAGGTGAACCCTTACCTAGAATCTTATGTTTAGTAGACCTTAAATGGAGTTAACTTTAGACAAAGACTTTAATCATTTTAGATATCCTAATTCACAATAAATAATTAGGTGGCGACTTCTTAAGTTAGTTATTAATTTGGAAATCACCAAAATGTTGTACACTATTTTACCTGATTAAAATGGGGTATAACAACTTGACGATTTCACTGGAGACTTTTTAGGTTCTAACCATAGCGGACTTAGTTTAATTAGGCTTTATGTGCTTATTTTAATTACTTTACATGTCATAAACTTGTTTTTACATAGTACTCAATTGTTAGTTTGACATAAATTAATTTAATATGCTGGCAATTATTTGTTTACTAAATATTTTTTTCTTGTTATACATTGTTTGTTTGTTATAAATGGTTTATGTGTTATTGTTTTTCTTAACTGTCATTTCGTTCATATTTCTTCACTTCTTGGAAATTTACGCTATCACACGTACACGCGAGGTGTGTTTTGCGCACGCACCCACAATTCTTTTTCAAAATCCAAAATTTAGGAGAGTTGACATATACGCGGGATGTTTGAATCTTTTTCTGTGTGACCGCATAGCCTTCTCGCTCGAGTAGTTAATTCGAGAACCTTGTGTAGTAAACTCACTCCTAGGTTACTTAGAGTAGAGCTAAACCAACACACTTTATAAGGAACATACTTCATTTCATGACCTAAGAGGCTTGATACCCTTGGTGTATTAAGTTCATTAGTCGACTTTACCTTAAATGTCCAAGTGGGTTTTCGACCCCAAGTAACGACCTATCATTATTTATGTGCATATTTGAGAAATATTTATGCCTAAATATGAACCATTTGTTCTAATTAATTAAACTTTAGGGGGTGGTATGACTAAACTTTCCATGACAGGTACGAAGACTTGATGTTTGGGTACAAGAAGTGGCATATCACCAAAAGGAACCAAGAAGGATGGACATAACAAAATTTCTTTTACTTTATTTTAAAAGTACTTTACGTTGTATTCATTCGACATGTTTTGTACCTTATTTTGATTTTTTTTTATTTAATTAATCAACAGTAATGGGATGACATATTATGACAAATATATTCCTCAGATTTACGTTAAGCCTACCTCCGACACAAAGAGGTCACAAGCATATTAAGACGCGTTTGCATGCTATCTTTACAATATATTTGAATTTACTTGATTAATTGTTTACATGTTATTCTTACAACTTATTTGACTCTACTTGATAACTTGCATGTTATGTGATTTATTTGAATTTCATGGGCATATCTTTACCTTTTCATTTAAAACTAACATTATTTGCGTTTTATTTTCTATATTTTATTTTTATTCCCAACTAAAAGTTGATTTGTGTTGACAATCGAGCTGGCCGACCATTCTCACTTCACAAGGTCCAAGTCATCAGCATTACCTCGACGTAGTTGGGCTGTTCAAGGAAGAAAAATCACTATGACTGATCCAACCGCGTCTGATTCAATTGATCCAGGACATATTATGGTTCCTAATGATTCTCCCGAGACTTCCGAAGATAGAACTACTATTTAACATGATGAACATATCTCCCGCTTGACTCAAGATATTGAGGAGCTACGTAGCGAACTAACTCAGGTTAGAGACTTGACCAATTTATCCATCACACTCCAAAGTCCACTTCCTGAACCTAGGAGTACTACACCAAACCCACCTCGTTTTTCATCACTTGATTCACCAGTTCCTGAACACTTTCCTCCACAACAATGTCCGCCTACCAACAATAACCTTCCTCCAACTACCCCCGCAAATCCACCAAATTTTCCACCCATCTACACTCCTCCACAAAGTCAACCACCTACCTACACTACTTATGCTACTCCTCTTAATCCACCACCTGTCAACCCACAAAATCAACCTTCGACTCACACTCCTTACGTTTCTCTACCCATTAACACCTATCCACAACCTACAACTACTCTCATAAACCCATCAAATCCACCACCTCCAATCCAAAGTACGCCCACTGTTCAAACTTATCCAACTCAACATATACAAGGGGAACATATTGCCAGTCCTTATGCGCAACATGTTTCTCCGATATATGCGATGGAAACTCACGCCTTTACCAACCCAATATCAATCAAGTTTCAACCTGAGTGTCACGATCCAGGAGTACCCCCTAGATGTGACAAGGCATACTCAACCCCGAAAAGTCTCATACAAGCCCCTTAGCATATCATAACATAAGACATAAGAAATGATGCAGAATTTAAAAACTTTATCCATACAATTGAAGTCTTTTATAAAAGCAAGCGGAAGTCTAACTTGTCTCAATTAACCATATAATACAATCTTTGAATAAAAAATAAGGTCACAGCCCTTTCAACATAATTCGAACATGAAATACTAGAAAGAAACTACAATGACTCATATGTCCTCAAATCTTGAGGACTCACCACAAGATAGGAGAATAGTCGATCCAAGCTTGAACCACAAGAAGATCACCTTAAGAACCGGAACCTACACTTTGTGAAAAATGTAGAAAATATGGGTAAGTATAAAAATGCACAAAGTATGATAGCCATGCATAAAATTCCTTGAAACATACTAAAAATGACATTTTATGTAAAAGCATAAGACATAAGCATATTCAACATATAGATCATCATAGCATAATAAAATCATCTCATAAGTAACCCTAAGTTATACTTGTGCAATGCATAGATAAAGATCCCATAATCCTATCTATACTAAGTACCACTTTTAGACCACCATAAACATACTTACCATTCTTGATTTCATCCTTTGTTCACATTCATAGACAAGGAAACCTTCACGTTACTAAGTCATACCAAGGAAAACAACTCATAGAAACAATCCACATTAATCATACTTCCTTACAAATAGCCTTCATATCAACATACTTAGTAGCATCATCATAAGCATATTTCATAAAGCATTATAACATTAAGGAACACACCATAACTACTCTTAAAGACTAATTGTGTAATGCATGGATAAAGTCCCATACCCCCATCCACACTAAATAGTGCATTCTTGAGAAACCATAGTTCATTATCATTCATTGTGGGGGAAAGCCTTAACCGACATAGACCATATGAACAAATCATGGAATCCGGTTTCTCCCACACCGAAAAGGGTTGTCCTACTTGCCTAGGGTAGAACCATTAACTTAGTTTAGGTGGATACACTAGCTAATAACCTATGAGGGCACATAGTTTATGGGATACAGAGATTGATACTAGATACCCCACCTCAACTCACATGAGGGCATCCATCTCAAGAGATTGCTACTAGAAACCCTGCCTTAACTCACGTATGAGTTTCCATCTCAATCAATATCCACTCGGTGCTTATAATTATTCTCCATGGAGTACTTATCATTTCATTACTTGAGTTCATTATTATGGGATACATAGATTCCTACTAGATACCCCATCTCAACTCACGTGAGGGCATCCATCTCATCCCAATATCATTCATAAGATAGCTCATAGATTTAATAGGTAAGAATATCCTTTCATCCTAAGAATCCCCATATTGTGAGAAAACCTTTCACAATATGTCCTTATCATTAATAAGTGTATAATTGAGAATAGCCTTTCAATCAACATAACATCATCATTATCATAATCATTGAAACTTCATTCATAAGTGTGTGTATGTGAGAATAACCTTTCAACAACACCACCATTACATCATAGTTATAATTATTTTATTCTCAAAGGATTCATAAAGTATGTACATAAACGTCATGATCATACATAAATCTCATAATTTGCCGTTCAAGGACCATAGATCACAATCAATGAACACACCTATAGTTACTACCTTAGGCATGGATAATAACATGATTCAAGTAATCAATTCATAACATTCATAATTCTATAACATTCTACTAACATCAATCAATACCCACACTTTAAGATCCAATTTGAGAAATTAGGGGAATTCATGGATTCTTGAAGAATTCAACTCAAAATCATATAAATTCATCAATATATCCATAAACAAACATAATTCAATCATTTAAAATGAATTTGAAAGGAATCCATGAGATTGAAGTCAAATCTAAACTTTTGGATTTTCTAGATTTGAAATTGGGGTTTTTGAAAGGGATCTATGGGTGAAGGCTACCCATAGATGAAAATCTACCATACCTTATTGAATATTCACCACGAAATTGAGGATAAAATCTTGATTCTTTAACCCTAGCTTCACCTTTCTTTTTCTTCTTCCTTGGAATTCTAGAGAGAGTTTTTTGGGGAAAGTTGGTTATGGATTTTGGGTTTGGAATTTTATGAAGTGAATGGGTTATTTAATGACTTAAAAAAACTTATATAGGTGAATTAATACTATACAAAACTACTCCACTTAATACTTAATTAAAAAGGAATTTACCTAAAAACCCCCAACTTAACCGACTTGAGGCAGCCTACGGACCCCATCCACGACCCCCACCTACGGGGCGTGGACTGACCCATAGCCTGTACTGGCAGAGCGTTGGTTGGGTTTTTGTATCCCCTCACTTAAGCCTTTGATCCACGAGCCTCTCCCACGGAGCGTGGACCACCATACGATGCGTAGGTCCCCTCCATGGGTCACTGTTTTGGGCAGTTTTGGGGTGAACTTTAGGTTCCTCCTCAAGGACCCTTGGTTGGTCCTTGGGGAGTCGTACCTTGACGTTTAACTCCCAAACCCTTCATTCTAAGTTCGAGAAGCAAGTTTTACGACTCTAACACTTACGAAAAGCTCTAGTTAAGCCTACTAATTTTCGGGGTGTTACACTGAGGTAGATCAATATGAGGAAATGGAGAAGGATGTTAAGGTAAAGGCTGATGATGTGTTAGCTAGAGAGATTCACGATCTTAAGGAAGCAATGAGAAACCTCCAAACTACCAGGGGAAACAAAAGCCTAGAATATGAGGATTTGTGTGTGCAACCTGACATTGACTTGCATGTAGGGTACAAACCGCCAAAGTTTGATATATTCAATGGAATTGGTAATCCTCATACACATCTAAGGGAGTATTATGACAAACTGGTAGGAGTGGGGAGATATGAGAGGGTCAAAATGAAGTTATTCATAAGAAGTTTATTTGGCAAAGCTCTTGCTTGGTACACACAACAAGATTTCCATAAATGGCGTGGTTGGAGTGATATGGCACAAGACTTTATGAATCGATTCAAGTTCAATACTAATATCACATGTCACGACCCAGGAGTACCCCCTAGAAGTAACATGGCGTACTCGACCCCGAAGGGGTCTAATACAAGCCCTTAGCATCATAACATAGGTAATAGAAGTAAAATACGGAACAATTTAAAACCTTTACAATAGAAGTCATATTTCATAAAAACAAGCGGAAGTCTTTCTATGCTCTTTGTCTCAAACCATCTAATAAACTCTTGAATAAAAGTCTTGGGACGCAGCCCATACAAAGTCTAAAACATAAATAAATGACATAAAGGAAATAAGGGTTTGTCCTCGAAGCTATGAGGACTCACCAATTCTTCAACTCTTCTGGATCCTTGGAAACCTAGCCTTCAAAGCAACTCAATCTCTGATACCCTACATTAGATTAGAATGTTGACAATATGCATTCGTACAAAATGTACCAAGTATGAAAGCTAGTACAACATCATAAGAGAATCTCAAATGGTTAGTCAACATAAGACATAAGCATAAGAGATAATAACATATTCATAACATAATTATCATAGTCATAGCATAATCTCCATAGTCATAACATAATCATCATAGTCATAGCATGGCCTCCAACATAAGCTTTATATAAACATAAGTCAACATAAGGCATAGTCATACTCATATAAGCATAATAGACTCTTAGTCCTCTTTACCATAGTATCACAATTCTCAAGTAACCTCAAAACCATACATGTGCGAAACAAGAATAGCATCCCATAATACCACCCAAGTCAAGTATCCTTTTTTGGTCATCTCAATCATAGTCTATATGCATGGTCAACTCTTTAAGCTTTTCTATGCCATAAGGGCACCATACTTCTAAGTAACGTCAAAGCACACTTGTGCAATGCATGAAAGGATTCCCATACTAC